AGCCTTATCTCCACTAGCTTCATCTACTACAACTACCATATGGCAGTGAGTGAATTAACCTTGACTTGTTCCTGTTCTAAGTCTTCTTGAAGAGTCTATAATAAAAAAAAATGTTAAAAAACAATTTAACACAAGGACAGCTTGTTTTACTTTTCATGAACTGAGTTATTTAGAGCCATAAGAACAGGCATTAATTATTAGTTACTATAACAAAGACCTCACTGCCAAAACACACCATGAAATATAATTTGTATAATTTCTATTAAATTAAACATAGATACATTTCTATCTAAACTTAGAAAGTCACAAATTAAAAAAAACCATATTGAAACATGAATCCACTCCTTAAAATGTCTTAATTCTTTTCCTCAATTTTTAAAAGATGAAAACCTATCACATTTGCCAGAAATAAGCCTCACCAAAGGCACAGAAAATTCTGAGAAAACAAGTATAAGATTGCAGCTTTTAAAACTTACAATAATTATCTTTTAGCTATGAGACATAATTTTAGTTGCATTCATTTTTGGTGTAACTATATAGTATCCTTAATTATTATTCATTTTCTATGCAACATCTAAACTTGAATAGACTCTTTGAATGTGTTTTACATTTATGGTTACATTAAAAGACAAATTATTAAAAACATAAATGACTCAATAAAATATATATTTTTAGATGACTGTTTAAAAATTGTACTATGCTCTAAAGTTTTTAAGGAGCAGTATTTCAAAAGTATAGGACTGCAAAAGTGTCTGTCTGTCTAATCTAATCTAATCTAATCTAGTCTAATCTAATCTAAACTTTTCTAGATAATTTTTTAAACACTTATAGTTCAAAAAATATATGGCTAATCTGCACTTATTAGAAGAGATCCAAGTTTGGGGCGGGGTAGTTTTTGAATATAGGGAATGTAAACCGACTTCAGCCTCTTATTATACAAAGGAAGTCAGGATACCAAGCCATGCATCATTTTAAAGGATTTTTTTTTGCTAAAACCAGCAATTAATCTCCATTAATTACATAAATACCTGCCTTGGTAGAATTGTAATCTATTTTAGTAGAAATATTGAGGAAAAGTAAAAGGAAAGGAGGCAAAGGTCTTTCCAGAAAAGCTGTATATAAAAGTATAGCTAGACCTGGTTAGTCCCTAAATAGGAAACTAAAAGAAGATCAAACGGTGTAACTACTATAGCTATCCTAAATATAAACATATATGCATTCTATGAGAAAATAAGAGCTAAGTATTTTTGCATGACTGCCAAGAAATTGGCATGTACTTATTAGGGTTTAAGTCTTTAGTTTAATTGCATGACTATTAAACAAAGCCAACATAATTTTGTTTGGTAGCTTTTGCATGCTTGGACAAGTTTAACTCAACATTTTAAGTCAAAGTATGTAAAAAACTGGAATAAAAATAATAAAACAAAAAACAAAAAAGCAGGTAAAAGCAAAATATTATAGCATTTATAGCAACATGTAGCTGATAAAACATGAAAACATTTTGTATCATACATTAGAGTACTAATTTTACATAATGTATCAGATATTTTAATTTGATCAACCTCACAGGACTTTGTTGGTTTAGATTGCATGGATGTACCATTAATAAAAAGAGGCTTCCTATCAATGCAGATAAACAACAGTTTTTCTTGAAATTCTGGATGAATCTTAAGCACGTAACAATGAATGTATATTTTCTGTTTTTCATTACTTTGCAAACTTACAACTACTAAAATTGAATACCACAGGCTATTTCAGGTCTATGTCAGACATAACTAGTAGACTAACTACTTCACTGTTAGAATACATGGAAAACTGGTAATACTTGGAATTTTAATAACTAGAAGAAATGTGAAGAATTCAATATTTTGAATCTATCAAATAACTCCAGCATCAAGTGTTTCATTAAAAAGTATATCTCATGCATGGAAGGTCAGTTACACATGATACTAAAAAGAAAAAAGTAGAAATACAGATAGCATCATACACAACATTGGCATTTATTAAAGCATATCTGAGATTTTATTAATCAGAGTTAATGGGGTTTGTCTGTGTGTGTCTAAGAAAACGTCTTAGACTACAACATAAATGCACAACAGCAGCACATTTTATCCAGTTCTTTTGTTCATTATGTGCTGGCATGTGGCTTTTATAATTGAATTCATTTTTCAAAAATACTTCATCTTTTGTATATAAAGACAGATACTCAGCTTGAATACTTTATTGTGCTTTGGGGCTGCAATACAAAGTCACAGCACTGCTAATGAGATTAAAAATCCCAATTATAACAACTAATAATCTTGATTAGCTAGTAGAGTACTTTAAAAAGAAAGGATAAGATAGCAAAAGAAGGAAACTAGGGAATAATAAAATCTGAAACATCACTACTGCATTTTGCAATAAATATCATATTGCAATTCCCTTTCCTCTTATCATTCCAAAATACTTTTTTATTATGGGAATAATGAAATAAAAATAAGTAAATACAAGTAGAGCATCCTTATCTTATTAATACAAAATCTATTTCTATGCAATGTTCCAATAAAGTAGAATAAAATATGGATATAAGACTGAAGACATAGCATAAAAAGGATAGTTAGAAGCTTGCTTAAAAGAAATATCATCATTCTCTACCCACAAGATGTTCTAGCCAACATCCCTATGTCAAAAGTCCAAACCACAAGGTTCAGANAGAAGACCCCATCTCCTTATAAGGCTTTCTCCTCAAGGTAACCAATAAGAAATGAGTTAAGTGTTTCCCTGTTACGCTGCCTTTGAGAATGTATAAGAATGTGTGCTTCGATAATGAAGGTTGTTCAGAACTTGCAATGCTAGCCATGGACTAGCTTTCTGAATGTGGCTGCCAAATAAACTTTTCCTATATCCTGAGAAGTCTAAAGCCCGTCATTTTCTGCAACACCAAAATGGTGGTATTTTTATATTAAATTAGAATTACAAAACAACATTTTATATAAATATTGCTTTTACATAATACTGTACTGACATTTACACAAAGAAATGCTAAAAAGTAAAGTGGCTCTTGAAAACTACAGCTTACCTTATGTTCTTCCACCTGCTTCTTTAAGCTTTCTAGATCAGGTCCCAAAGGTTCTGACTCCATCTTTTCTGTTCTTTTTTTTGTTTTAGCTAACCAGTCAGACAGCTCACTGAGCTGCTGGTTTTGTAAATCCATTAGAACTTGGTGTAAACTAGAAAGAAATATTGTTTAAAAATGAATAAAAATAAGGTAAGGAATTCAATATATCTGCTACATCTTGAATCTTCAGTTGAATAACTTAAACCTGTGATTAGAAATTCTATTACAAATCATTATTTTAACACACTGTAGCTGCATTTCTATAATCAATGCAAATGAAACTAAAATGAACAAATCATATTAAATATAGAAGACACTATGAATAGACAAAGATTTTTTTAGAGTTTGTACTCAGAAATAAGTCCCAAAAGGAAACTGACAATCATTTTGAAGTCAGATGAGTCCCCCTTCTCTGTAATTTGATGAAATGGCAAAACAAGCATGAACTCTTTTTTTATAAGTTTTAGTAGAAGTTTTAAAAAGAAGATAAAATTAAAAATTAATAAAAACTAATACAAAGTAAAGAAAGAAAAGAAAAAAGAAGAGAAACATATGAAAGGACAAACTGCAAAAAGAAAAGATCAAAAGAAATAGGAAGAAGCTTCAAATTTCTTTTTCAGCAAATACAATACAAAATTACCTCTTACTCTATTGCTACAAGAAAGTTTTTTCTTCTAATATCTAATATTTTCTAAACAACAAAACCACAAATCAAAAGTTCATTTTTCTGTTTCATGCAAAAAGTCTATAAAGGGATTACAATAAGCAATAAATGTTTTTGCTGTTTTTCCTATAATCAAAGAGGTCAACAACCATTAATTCTTGACTGAATATTTGTTTTTGCTTTGCCTCATCAATGGCCCCTCCCAGTATTCGAACAGATCAAAATAAAGATAGGTAACTCTGTTACTCTCATTATCTTTACATAGTTTTTGTTTTTCACATTTGCTTCTCTTGTATTTTTGTTACAACTGTACAACAGTTTTCCAAAATAATTGAAGACATCATCTCCCCAAACTTATTGAATTCCCATATCCATTCCTATTCTTCAGCCCTTAAAATACCCAGTGACGTAAAGAACATCAAAGTTTGATCAAAAGTTACCGTCCCTTCAACTTATTCTTGAGAGAACTCTTACCATAAAATTCTTATATAATAACATTTAAGGTTCATACAATAATAAAAGCTTTCTGAATTCAATTTCATAACCTCAAAGAAGCTGTCAACTTCATTTGAATAACTCCAGTTATTCAAGATTAGTATATCAATGTCCATCCTCTGAATAGTTCTGCTGGGACGTTTTGCAAAAATCATCCATTTCCAGACATTTAAAACTTAATTCAGTTGTCAGTTTTCAGTTAGGCTTGGCAGAAGATACCCTAAGCACAATTTAGGTGGTTTAGAATATTTATTACAGACAAACTTGAACCTCTGTCAAAATATTTGGTTGCTTATGCCAGAACAATTGAAAGTCTTTGAAAATCTAGTTTTAAAACGTTAAATTTCTTTTGCTGATTTTCTAAGTTAACAAAGTTTACTCAAGGGCAAGCAGTGTTGCAGGATTTCAAAGTCCATTTCTCTTCACTGATGCTACTCAGACACTTAGACTGTGCTTACCAATTCTTGATACAACCTGATGCCTCAGAAGTTGGGGTATGACCTGTTCTCCTGCATTAGAGAAAGAGTGGGGAAGGCTCTCCTTCTCCTTTGACCAACTGAATGAAACTATGACTTTTTCAATAAAATTTGCTTATGGTAAAGTCAACATTCCAGCAATAGAGGCACTTTGTAAGGATCTGCCTCTCCTCCTTTCCCAGGAAAGCACAGACTCTTGAAACATGGTATTTCAAAAGAAACCTTTTATTGAGAAGAAGTGATAGCAGGACAGGCGAAACAGACTTTAATTCCATCCCAAACTGCACAGTTAGAAATAGCACTCTAGAATTCACCCTGCCCAGTTCGAATATGGATCTCTGCCAATTCACAGGTGTGAAGATGTTTATTGTAATGACCATCCTGAGAGCCAGAAAAGGATCCATTCCCATGGTGGTCTTCTGCCTTGAACCAACTGACACAATCCACATGGCCCTCCCTCCTTATTTCATTCCCAAAAGGTGAGAATATTGCAGGGTGCTGAGGCGCCCAGGAAAAAGATTATAAAATACAGCTTATCCCCATGCTCCCCCTCCCTCCATATGAATGGCAGTATCACATTAGGGATCTGACATACTGCCCTTAGAAAAAAGCTAGATCCACCTGTAAGAGATAGAGAAAAAGAATCATTATAGTATTTTAACAAGGTTTGTGTGTCAAGGCCTGACATTGTGGGGGTATTGGGTGTGGAATTTCTTTAATAGTGTAGAGGCAATGATGTGATTTTGTCCACACACTCATTTTGGGAAGGGGGTAGGTGTTTCCATGCTATTAGGTATTGCGTTTTTCCTTGATGGGTCCTAGAATCAAGGATATCTTTGATTTCAAAATGTTGCTCACCCTCAACCATTATGGGTGTGGGTGGTGCATGGATTTGAGATCTAAGTGAGGATGTGACTTTTCTTTTTAGCAGGCTAATGTGGAAGACTGGGTGTACTTGTCTGAGTGTTTGGGGAAATGCTAATTCTATTGTCACTGGGTTGATGATCCTAGTGATTGGAAATGGTCCCACAAATGTTGGCCCTAATTTCTTTGAGGGCTGCAATGTTTGATTTTTATGGATAAGTATATTCTGTCATCTATTTGGAAAGGTTTTGGTTGTATTCTTTTCTTGCCTGTTTGGTGTTTAAATGTTTCTCTAGCATCCTTTAGTGATAATTTGACTACAGGTCAAGTGTTTTGTAGGGTTTCCACCCATTCCTTCAGGGAGGGGATGGTGAGTGTTTCTGTTGTTAGTTCTGGCATGGGGTGACATCTTGGTCTGTAGCTACTTTAAAAGGAGTGGAGCCTGTGCTGGAATGTACAGAGTTATTGAATGCTACCTCTTCAAAAGGTAATAGTTCAGTCCAGTTATCTTGTTGGTAATTAATAAACACATTAAATATTGCTCTAACACCCCATTCGTTTTTTCATATTGGACATTAGTCATCAGATGATGACTTGTTGATAAGCCTTGGTTGGTGCCAAGTAGTTTTGAGAATGCCCTCCAGAATTTTGATGTGAATTGGACCCCCATATCTGAAATGATTCTCTGTGGGGCTCCAAGTAAATGATAGATAGTGTATCAGGAATAAGTTTGCTGGGGGACGGGTTTGATGTCCCTGCAATATGAACAGAGGAACAGATCTCCATGGTCCCTGTGCTGAATTCTTCATGTTTGTGGGCTCCAGAGAGAGCCTAAGCCACCCTGAAGGAGAAGTGAAATAAAGAGGGGTCCCTATGAGGTCAGGGAGAGACACAGCTCTCCTGTCTGGCCTGAGGTCTTTCTTTTCCCTTAGCCATGGCAAGAAGAAGAAGCAACCTAAAGATGGCCACTACAAAGCAGAGACAAACCTAAAACAACAGCTGGTGCTGGAGAGAAGGTGAGCCATGGTGGAACTGAGGGAGAGGATCTGTCTTATGTTTTAAATTGAATCCCAAGAAATAATCACAACTATTTGCCCAGAACTGAGTATTAAAGTGGCGCCTAAGCATTTTGGGGCATTTTTTCTTGTTTTTTGTTTTTAAATATCAAATCGGAATGAAAGCTGTAGGACAGTGATGGCTAACCTTTTTTGGATCATGTGCCAAAAGTGGGGGGAGTGCAGGGGGTCATGATCGGGCATGCCCACACCAATAATGCTATAGCAGTAGACTTATATACCGCTTCATAGGGCTTTCAGCCCTCTCTAAGCGGTTTACAGAGAGTCAGCATATTGCCCCCAACAATCTGGGTCCTCATT